AGGACCTTATTGCAGCCTTTCAATACTTAAAGGAGGCCTGCAAGAAAGATGTATTTAGTAGGGCCTGTTCCAATAGGACGAGAAGTAAAGGTTTTAGTCTGAACAAGCGTAGCTGTAGACTAGATACAAGGAAAAAACATTTTAAAGTGAGGATGGTAAAACATGGGAACAGGTTGCCTAGTGAGCTAGTAAAAGCCTCATCACTGGAAGCAATCAAGGTTAGGTTGGACAGGACTCTGAGCACCCTAATTTAGTTGAAGATGTCCCTGTTCATCATGGAGTTTGGACTATATGACCTTTAAAGGTCTCTTCCTACCCAAACCATTACAAAAAAATAACCACAACCATCCTGCAGAAGTTCATGGAGGAGAGAATTAGGTGGCCTATATGTAGGGTCACTACCAGCTCCATCAGAAAATCAGCTTCGCTGGTTTTGACTGGGGAAGAAGAAAATTAACTCCAACCTAGTACATCAACACATTGCATTTTGAGTAAGAATAACATCTTTGTGGGGAGCAGCTGCCCTTTGGTTTGTGAAGAGGTTGGTCTCATCAGCACTGTTGTCACCCTCTTCTTTCAGGGACAACGGGGTTGCAGGCACTTCTGTGGGAGGACTAAAGTGTCAAGCAAGTCCCCTTGTCACCTAAGTGTCTCACCACATCCATAACTTTTTCCGACTACTTCTCCCTGCCCTCACCACAGTTCTTGCCATGCAGAGAGGTTGCTGAGCCAGGCTCTGCGTGGTGGCTCATTCCTTCAGCTGTCAGTAGCCTTCCAGGAACAGAGAAATGTTCTTACTGAAAAGCACATGATTAACATCACTGCTGCGCTTCACATCTGACTCCTTTGATCAGAAAAGTAAATTTATGCTTGTGAGAGAAATGAAGCTCAGTAGACTGCCCTCAGCCCACCTCTGTGCCTTTAAAATGCTGTTGAAAATACTATCATCCAGGGTGTTTCCCACTTATGGGGCATAATTATGAGTTGTGTGCCTTTATGACAAAAATCTTTGATCCTGACATAGTTCAGTCTTTGATTTAACACAGTGTTAATTGTTTGGCTCATTTTTGTCTCTGCAATCCTATGAGTCCTACCTCCACTGGAGATAACATGCTGACTAAACACATTTGGTGTTCTTACAGTTTCCCTTAAGATGGAAAGTCCTTGCAGTTGAGCTTGGGTCTCAGATAAACTCTCTGTAGAGTGAGATTTAATGTAGCCTGAGGGGTTGTCCCTGCATCAGGGACTTGGCAGCACAGTGGAGATGCCCTGCCTTATGTGGTCTCCTGTAGCAAAGCTCGGTACTTTATTTGGCTGGTCGTGCTGCGCCAGAGCTACCAAAGCTTGGACCACAATTTCTTGGGCTGCTATAAATGGGTTTTGCTGGTGAGGTGTTATGTCTTCCAACCCCCGATGACTTACTTTGGTGGCTTTGTCCCATCTTAGTTTTTATTAACAATAAAAGATTCTAACAGATAGCTTTCTGGCTAACAGAAGGGACAAGTTATCCTCTGTGTTTGTGCAACTCTTGAAAGGACATTGTAAAGAGGTTGGTGCTGGTCTCTTCTCACAGGTAATTAGGGACAGAACCAGGGGGAATGGTTTCAAGTTGCAACAGGGCAAGTTATTAGGAAGAAATTCTTCATGGAAAGAGGGGTCAGACACTGGAACAGACTGCCTAGGGAGGTGGTTGAGTCACCATCCCTGGATGTGTTTAAGTGTCGCTTAGATGTGGTGTTGGGTGATATGGTTTAGGGGTGAACTTGTAGTGTAGGGTTAATGGTTGGACTCGATGATCCCAAGGGTCTTTTCCAACCTGAATTGTTCTATGATTCTGTGATTCTGTGAACTCCTTGAAGGTCATGGCTTTATAATTAGAAATCCTAGTATTGATCAATTGATCAGTGCTTATGAGACTGTGCAGATTCCTATTTATTTAAACGGGCTTCTGCGCAGTGCAAGCAATTTGGCAAAACAACACAGGGCACTCTTCCTAGGATCATCTTGTAAAGGAATGCATAAATCACTTGTGAATGAGTCCTCAGAGGAATAGTATCGATTTGAGGTAAATGCTTGTAAAAGGTAATAAATAGCCATGTAATGGTCACATAGATGGCTTTCAATGTTATTTTAAGTTAATGCAAGCACAGATTTCAGATGTTATGTCTACAATCTGAAAGAATAGACCTTGATCCAATAATAAAGTGTATGCAGCAGTCTGCTTGTTTTATGCATCTTTGCTACCCTGCAGTGATGGTCACTGTCAGCAAGTTTTTCTTGCACATAAAGGAGAGGAAATCTTAATGAAGCTATGGCAGCAAATCTGTGTCTGTTAAGTGAATAGTGTGTTCATAGTCAGTTAAAATATCTGTAAGGGAAGGTATTTGGATTCAAAAATGTGAAATCTGAAACTTAGGGCATTTCAAAGATGGCAACTAAAGCCAAACATGTGGAAAACAAAAATCCCAAATGCTTAGGATGTCTTGAAATTTCTCAGTTATGGCTCTCAAACCAGGCAAGGTCTCTTCAGAGCTCAGGGTATTGTATGTGGAACTTTTGTGAGCATGAACATTTCCAAATAATTACTCTGCAGGTCTTTCAGGAACATCAGTAATATTGAAAGCTTGCTTCAAAAGGCAAAAAACTCAGGTTTTTCTATATGATGCTTTGTTTCATTTTGTTCTCTATAGCTGCTAATTTTGTGGCTATAGCTGAGCCATACTGACTTCTCTTAGTCTTATTGCTAGAGTCCAGCTAGGGGTGTTCAGTTTGCTTTTGAAACACGAAGCTGGAAGGAAACCACTCTAAAGCAAGTCTTGGCACATGTACAGTTGAGCCAAAAAGCATCAGTTCTTTTCCAGGAGCAAGGTTCCAACTGGAACTTAGCATCCCCATGAACTTGCAGTGTGGCAAAAGGGAACAACATGCCAAAAGGCTCTTGGAATTGTGGCCAAGGTGCGTGGGATTCAGGCTGGAGCTAGGAGACCTCAGGGCATCTTCTGTAAGAGATGGCACCTTTGTGGATTATTGCTTTATGATTTTTTTTTTCCTGCAAGTCATGAGTGATTGGGTGAAACATTGTCCCTCCTCAGGGTTCATGCGTCGCATGTGCTGGTAGGGCAGGGCTGCAGCCAGTGACAGCCAGTCCTGGAGCCCATGGGCTGCGTGTCCACACTCAGGAAGGGTGTGGATGGCAGCACTCTCCACCTGCTGCCCCCTTTCTCTGCTCTGCTCTGATACGTACCATTGCATATTGGGATGCAGCGAGGTGGAGAAGGCTCTCCAGCTTGTTTCCGAATCTCAGCTCTTGGTAGTTCTGTCGGGTTTTTAAAGTATTATTCATCAGGCTTCAGGTTGCAAAGCAGTTAAACAGAGGAACAACCTGTGCTTGTCAGTGAGCAGCCCAGACTGTGGGCAACTGCTCCTTTCGCTGCAAGGGCTCGTTAATGACAAAATCTAGTGCTGCTGAACTAAATACACGTTACGGTACTTAATGGCAGGACAACGTTCATATCTTGTACAGACCTGGAAGTTCAGTTGTCAATCTTCCACAGTCTCTGGTTCTCCCTCGTTACCTTCAGTACAAAATTCTTCAGTTCACTGGGCATCTACAATGAACAAAGATATTGGTTATCCACGCTACATTAAGCCCTGCTCGGGATATTTACAGACTGTAACATAAACTGAAGTATTCCTATCTATAAAATGTGTGGATTAGGAGGGGTGGGGTAATGGTTTTTTTATCTATCTGGAATATCCCACCTATCTCTTCACCAGTTAGGATCTTGCTGGTAATTACTTGTGTGTAAAGAGGAAGGGCAATGAAAAGAAACTTCAGACTGTTGGGAGCTCCAGCTTCACCTGTCTGTTCTAATTCTAGTTACCTACTCAGCATAGCTCTCCTAGGAATGCAAAATCCCAAAGGAACCTGGAGACAGCAGGAAGGTCACAAAGTAGGACTGGGCTGTGTTTGCTTGGAGGACGTGAAAAGGCAGAGGTGCAAGACCGAGGAGCACAGTCTGGTATAGCAAGAGAACCGAGTGAGAAGAAGCCTAGTTTTGCCTGGTTGCCATCTCTGCGTGCCTGCAGAACCAGCTTCAGGTCCCTGGCACAAGTGGGTTAATGGATATCTTTGTCCCGAGAGACGTCATGAAGACAAATTAGCTCTATGGAAATCCATGGTGACAGGCTTTTGGAGCAGAGGCAGGCCTTGACCCAACATTGGGTTGTATCCAAACCCTGATACTTTCTTTAAACCGTACTCCCACTAAGAATTTTTCAGAAGAGCTCTAAGTCTTAAACAGCCTGAGAACAAATAAACATAATCCTGGCACTTGCATTGCCCATGATGGAACGCTATACTATGCCATGGTGACTAGCACGTATGGTGCAAAAATCTCTTTTGTAGGGCAGCTTTATTTAACTTTTAAAAAAATAAGGCCAGAAATTTAGGCCAATTAGTGTGAGCAAAGCTCAGCAGGTTCACATCTCCCTTTGCAGCCAGATCTCTAATTACTGTCTGCATATTTTAAACACACTGCACAGTCCTTTAAAATACAATTTTTCTCTAAATAAAATATCGTGTGCTGCTTCTCAGGTTTTTTAGTAGTTAAAAGCTTCATGTATTTTCTGTGTTAATCTGTAATTCTCTCCCTGCTTTGTCTTCAATAAAATATTTGCGTAAGTTTTCCTGTGTATTTGCAATTGCAGTTGGAATTATGGGTTGTAAATTCAATAAGCTGCTAGTGTTAGTAGAGTGTAATGAGCTCTTTAATTATATGGAATAAGCACCAAACCTTACATATGTGTTTCATGGGTGTGAGATTTAATGCATTTTTAGATCTACTTTGTCTAAAGCACATGTTTTATTCTGTGACAACTCAGACATTCACTTGTTCTTTTGAAGCAGGACTTGCTGTTTTGGAGATGTTACTGCTTCTAATGCCTTAATTCATTTTGATTGTTTGTAATATGTCACTTCATTTTGTTTGCACAGAGACTTTGCTTATGTGGCAAGAGACAAAGACACAAGAATTCTGAAATGTCATGTGTTTCGATGTGACACACCCGCAAAAGCCATCGCCACAAGTTTACACGAAATCTGCTCAAAGGCAAGTGGATTTAAAGTCAGCTGCATTTGTCTGTGAAGTTCGTGATCCAGATACATACAATCAGCAACCGTAGGCAGCATTAGTGTAGTTTATATCACTGGTGACAAGAAATGGTACAGAGAATTTTTAAAAGAAAGGACACAAATAGACCAGAGTAACAGGAGGCTGAGCAGTTAGATTTGAGAAAGACGATGTGTGCTTTTGATTTGTATAGAGACTGAAGGTTTTCTTGAATAATAAAGAAGCTCTGCGTTTAAAATGGAAAAAGAACATGCGGTTTCAATCAATGTTAGATGGTGATGTTAAGCTTTGTAAACAGCTAAGACCTTGTTTGAATAGTATGGTTCAATGGTATTAACCTGCAGGATGGACAGGAAAATAGTTGCTAACATTACTGAGCCCACTAAAAAAAAAAAAAATTGGAGAGAAGAAGGGATTTAAGCTACTTGGTTACAAATACTAAAGGATCTTGGATCCAGCTTGTGGTAGTGTTGTCTGTAATACTGGAGAGGACTGTTCAGTTGTTTTACCTTACAGATTTGCCACCGTTCCCTGGTTATTAATTTTGGTTTTTTCACGAGTGTCCTCTGTATAGTCATTTCATACAGCAGTAGCAAGGCAACATGTCCTTTCCAGCAGGCAAATCTTAGTGAAGCACTTTCTATAAAGGCAGTTAAAACAATCTACTTGAAACTCTTTTTTTATTCTTTTATTGAGCTACGGTGGATTTGAGGCTGCGTCTCTCTTTTTAAAACATCTTATGCTGCTCTTTTTAGTTTTCCTTAAAACACGTCAGTTTATACCACAGGATGAGTGGGCTGTGGGGATAAGTAACCTTATCAGTTATATCTGTGTAACTTGTCTCTCCTCACAAGTCACAACTCTTTGAGAAAAGCTAGTTAGAAAACCTTCAGGTTTTATAGTTCTGCTTATTTACTGTATGCCTGTCATTTCCTTTTTCCATTAGTGAATGGAATTGGTGATGTCAAATTCCCCTCTGCAGCCAGTTGTGTAGTCTAAAAAATTTTCATTTTTGCAACACTGCAGACCCGGCTACTGAAGTCATGGTGTTTCCTGCAGACAATGTGAGCATTTACACAGTGTGCATTACTGTCACCTTCTGGGCAGCCAAGTTCTGGCAGAAGCAGAAGGTAGCCTGGCAACTCTGCAGAGCCTGGCAGCTCTGGCTGGGCTTGGATGCCAGAGGAGACCCGGGTGATGGGGCTTAGGGACCTGCTCGGGTTGGGCAGGGAGCTGCGCGCTGCACTGGCAGAAGTTTTATGCCAGTGACTGCAGCAGCAGCTGCTTGGGGAAGCCTAGAGCTGTTACATCCCTCTTCTTTCTCCTTCAAATCTCAAATCTCACAGACGTTTCCGGCAAGTCTAGCAAGGAAAAACATGCTACGCAGGCCCTGCCAGAGCTGCTTTTGTCCAGTAAGGGCAACATCAAGTAAATGCTATGGTAGCTGTACACAGGGGTATCGGAAATGGAGTAGAGCTGTCACATATAACTATGACATGAAACTCCTGGCATTAATTTTGGATAAGAGGGCAACAGACCATTTAAAACCATAGGCAATAGTAACGCAGAATAAAACAGGGCAGTGTTGTTAATTAGAGCGTGTTTGTTCATAATCCAGCAATAGATGTAATCATGATTCATGGAAGCGCTTGGTGTGTGCTAACTGACGCAGTGGACCTCTTTGATGAGTCAGGGCTTCTTCCCAAGCTACCATGTGTTGTTTTTCATCTGCAGGGGGGAATATTATCATGTGTCCCTGTAAAAGAAAATACTTTAAAAAGACAAAACCTTAAAAGAGAAAAAAAAAAAGGTGGTGAGGGGGAGAAATTTGCTAGAAGCATCTTCAGATGAAGTGTCATCTACTGGAACAGCAGTTATCTTTGTATCTTAATTAAAATTAACAGTCATAGCATAAAGAAGCAAATAGCAATGCTTCATATATGAGTTTGGAAACCTCTGTTAATTTCCCTGGGTCCTTTCTCAGTCATATATTTGTAGGGAATAATCATCCAAAGTGCTTATTTTGAAGTGGTGGGAGTTTTTCGTTGTTTTAGGGGAAGAACTGATTATATTTTGCATGGGATTTTTTAATTCCAGAGGAAACATAAAAACAGAGGAAAAAAATATACACAGCACAAGATAGACTAGAGAGGAACATGAATAATGAACACTCTACTCTGTGTGTTAAATATTTATATTTCTTGCTATATTACTCGTCACTGCAATTTCACCATTGATAAAAATGGCTACTTTTTTTTCCTCCTACATCTTTTATCTAGGCTTGGACACAACATAAGTTAAGGTACGAGGAATAAACTGGAGGAAAATTTAAAGCTGTTATTTCAAAAGAATAATCTGTTTGGTCATGTAGCTTCTGACTTATTTCAGATTACACAAACTAGAGTCATAATAGGAGTAAATTTATACTTGTAGTTGTTACTGTACTGTATTTAAAAATAAAAATGCTCTATTATCACTTTCTTCAGATTATGGCCGAGCGGAAGAATGCTAAAGCTATGGCTTGCAGCTCATTGCAAGACAGGACAAATGTCACCCTCGATGTTCCTCTGCAAGGTACTGTGTTACAGCTGGTAGCCGTGGCATGGCCCTGCTTTACATGTTTTGTTTCTGATGCTGCTTTTGACCAACATGGAGCGTGATAAGACAAGAGGAAATGGCCTCAGGTTGCTCCAAGGGAGGCTTAGATCGGATATTAGGAAAAAATTCTTCCCCCAAAGGGGTTTATAAGCATTGGACCAGGCTGCCCAGGAAAGTGGTTGAGTCACCATCCCTGGAGGTATTTAAAAGACGTGTAGATGTGGTGCTTAGGGACGTGGGTTATTGTTGAACTTGGCATCACTAGGTTAATGGTTGGACTCAGTGATCTTAAAGGTCTTTTCCAATCTAAATGATTCTGTGATTCTGTGTTGAGTGGAGAGGTCAGGAGTGTAACTGTGTCTTTCAATTACCGTGTCTGACGGTAACCTGTAACTGTATTGCATTAAACATTTATATTAGTTATGCTGACAGTAATGAACTCCGGCTCAGTTATGTCAACTTGTGCATTTCCTCTTTTGTTTTGAACTCAAATGTTACAAACACAGTCTTACTTATTTGTGGATACTTGCACTTATTGTTCTTTTCAAATCAAAACGCCCCTTGACTTGAGACTGCACAAATTGACCAAATGTTCCTTAAAACCAGAATATACTCCAGGTAAGCACTTGGATTCTGAGGAGTGGTAGGAGGACTCCTCTGAGGTTTCAGGATCTATTTTAGCAGCTTCCATGGCAAAGGGTGCTGAGGGGGTTGTCATCCAGCTTAAGGGTCTTGTCCACGCTCTACTGCATGGTAGAAGGAAGTTGCCTTTGCCTGCCTTTATTAGTCATAGCTTGGTGGATGCTATTTTGAAAGCTATTTTGAAAGTATTCCAGGAGAAAAAAACATACTGTGGGTTAGCTTTACAGGAAATTATATCCCTCTAGATCTACCAGTTTATAGTGAATATATGACTCTGAATCTGTGCATCAGCTTGTGTAATTTTCTGCTCAGACAGTAGTATTGATTACATGTAGACTCTGTTTAATATATGAACAGGGATGGTATTAAAAGCAAATTCCAGATTTTATGTAGTTGTGCAGTGAAATTTAGGTCTATATGTCTCAGAGCCACATTCATCTATATTTTCTGGGTTTTAATATGCCAGCAATATAATGTGTCCTTAGCATAGATCTTCTTAGCATAGATCAAGAATTAGGTGATGCAAAGTTACCCCTAATTCCTTTAGCAATGACTGAGCATTGTTCCTGTCAGAAGGAGTAAAAATTTGTTTTAATCAATACAGTACCTTCAGAGTACAATTATTGGGTAAACTCTTTTGTATATTGATGAAATGAAAGTGGTTTTCTCTGCTGTGAATGACGATTAACAGAAATTGATTTGTGTTCCCATGCAGTAGATTTCCCAACACCAAAGACAGAACTGGTACAGAAGTTCCACGTCCAGTACCTGGGCATGCTACCTGTAGCGAAACCTGTGGGTATGTAACACTTTAATGACTTCCAAAATACCTTGCAGAAACTCTAAAGGCTGGACTCGGGTTAGCCAAGAGTAAATGAGTGATTTTTGAAGGGTAGCAACTCATGTACTTCAGTCACACATGTCAGGAATGAAGACATCTAATATTCAAGACGTCATTTGAACATATGTTTTGCAACCAGAGTATCTGGGGATCTGCCAAGAAGGCGGAGTTTCTTTCTCCTGCTTTCTCTGAACGTGAGCTCTGCTGCTAAATGAGAAAGAGCCCTAGAGAACTGAAATGGTGCACCAGGTAAACAAGATTCTGTCCTGTTTTTTCGAAGCTGGAGGCACCTGTTCTAGTTTTGTAGGCAAAGAAAACCAATTTCACAGCCCTTCTTCTGTCATCAAATTAATTTTAATAAGGAGTCCAAACCAATCTGTTTTCTGTGAAAAATAAAATGTTATTGCTTACTGATACTCACATATTTATTTTTCATTATTGCATTTTTTTCTTTTTAGGAATGGATACTCTGAACAGTGCCATTGAAAGTCTAATGGCTTCCGCCAGCAAAGAGGACTGGATGCCAGTTACCATGAATGTTGCGGATGCGACTGTCACAGTCATCAATGAAAGAGTATGTTAGACTGGTTTGTTTAAAATGCATTTAACATAATATGAGTGTTGAAACACAGAAACACTAGTAGAAAGTGTTAATTTACACTAGAAGTCATTTGCTTATTTTGCGTGTTATTTCTTTTGTGTATGTCTGTTGACGGGGTACCAAACCAACATCTCTATAAAATACCAGTTATAGGGGAGCATGTTTTGGAGTCATGATAGCCATGTTCTTCTGTTTCTTCACAAATCAAGCAGGTTTTAAAATGCATGGTACGCTCAGTGCTAATCCTCAAAGCCTTGGTCTTCTGGTGATTGCCTAGAAGGGGAGATCCAGCTCAGGCCTGAGAACACTGGATATATCATAGAATCATAGAATGGTTTGGGTTGGAAGGGACTTTAGAGATCATCTAGTTCCCACCCCTGCCATGGGCAGGGAGACTTTCCACTAGACCAGGTTGCTCAAAGCCCCATCCAGCCTGGCCTTTAACTCTTCCAGGGAGGGGGCATCCACAGCTTCCCGGAGCAACTTGTTCCAGTGCCTCACCACACTCAGGGTAAAGAACTTCTTCCCTATATCTAGTCTAAATCTATCCTCTTTCAGTTTGAGACTCTTACCCCTCATCTTATTACTACACTCCCTGATAACATTGAGTCCCTCCCCTTCTTTCCTGTAGGCCCCCTTTAAGTACAGAACATTGCTATAAGGTCTCCCTGGAGCCTTCTCTTCTCCAGGCTGAACAACCTCAACTCTCTCTCCTCACAGGAGCAGTGCTCCAGCCCTCTGATGGTCTTCATGGCCCTCCTCAGGACTTGCTCCCATAGGTCCTTGTCGTCCTTATGGGACTTGGGGCCTCCAGAACTGAACACAGTACTGCAGGTTGGGGTCTCACAAGAGCAGAGTAGAGTGGGAGAATGACCTCTCTTGATGTGCTGGTCACGCTTCTTTTGATGCAGCCCAGGATGTGATTGGCTTTCTGGGCTGTGAGTGCACATTGCAGGCTCTCATTCAGTTTTTCACCTGCCAACACCCCCAAGTCCTGCTCTGCAGGGCTGCTCTCAATCCACTCATGGTCCAGTCTCTATTTGTGCTTGGGAATGCCCTGACCCAGGTGCAGGACATTGCACTTGACCTTGTTGGAACGTTATGAGGTTGGCATGGACCCACCTCTCAAGCCTGTCAAGTTCCCCTGGAATGACATCCCTTCCCTCCAGTCTGTTGACCACAGCTTGGTGTTGTCAGCAAACTCGTGCACTCGATCCCACTGTCCATGTCACCAACAAAGATGTTAAACAGCACCGGTTCCAGTAGCGATCCCTGAGGAATGCTGCTTATCATTGGTCCCCATATGCAGGTAGATAAAAAGGAACTCCACAATACCGCCTCAGCGTGCCCCCTGTTTAATCATCTTAAAATTGAAAGTAAAGTTCCATGGGATATGCAGTAGTAACGATCAATCATTTGATTCATGACCAGAATGAAGAGGAAATCATGGTGGAGTGTCGTGTGCGGTTCCTGTCCTTCATGGGAGTAGGCAAGGACGTTCACACATTTGCCTTCATTATGGATACAGGAAACCAGCATTTTGAGTGCCACGTGTTTTGGTGTGAGCCCAATGCAGGCAATGTATCAGAAGCTGTTCAAGCCGCTTGTATGGTAAGTGACCTTCTCCAGAGGCACCTAACTGCACTTAGATTTTTCACTGCCTCCATAAATAATCGTCTTTCCAAGTTTGTAATTCTATTAATTTCAGGACAGAAAAAGAACAGATAAAAATAGGAACTGGGATTCTTTTAAACTTAATCAATTAAAACCCAAACATAATTTTAAGCCTGAAATGTCAATGTAGTCAACAATGACCCTTTAATCATCTTCCCTCCTGACCTCTGCAACATCTGTGTAAGTCAGAATGTAAGTCATGAGTTTCCTAATGCTGGAAAAACATTTTGCTGAGAGTTGTGTTACACAATCCCGTGACGATGGAGTGAAAGTAATCCTTGTTCAACAACAGCTGAACCCAGAAAACTTACTTTTCAGTTTTCAAAGGGCTGTTTGTAACTTTTAGTATCTGTTGCTCGCTAATGAACAGTTTCTACCCACAGATCGACAGATCAGTGTTGCATTAGCTTTGTCTGGGCTGTTTGTCTCGGCCAAAACGGAGCTTTGACTGTATTTAATGAGAAAGTCCTAAAAGCCTATTTAAAGTGCTCTGTGGACGTGTTGGATACAGTAAGGATTGCAGACTGCTTTTGCTTTGTTGCAGTTACGGTATCAGAAGTGCTTAGTAGCCAGACCTCCTTCACAGAAAGTTCGACCACCCCCACCTCCCGCAGACTCAGTGACGAGAAGAGTTACAACTAATGTAAAAAGAGGAGTGTTGTCCCTCATTGACACTTTGAAACAGAAACGCCCAGTCAGCGAGATGCCATAGCTTCACACACGAGAGAGATTCTCCTAACTGAAGAGAAGAGTAGCTACACGAAGGAAAATGAACTGACGATGACGTCTGGCCTTCCATGTCAAATTGCTGATGCTTCGTCTTCAGAGAATTTACCCTTATCGAAACAATGTTAGACAAGCATGTTCTCTCGTTCTCGCCGCCATCGTGTGATATGAAAAGAAGCATGAATATTTTTTTGCTGTCGGTGAGTTACGTCATGAGCAATGGAAGGTCTGTTTGATTGTAAATACATGAACATTAACCTAAACTCACACACACAAAAAAGAATATGGCCACGTCCCTCCCAGTGAACTCATGCTACAGTCGTTGGAGTGAATGATGCCCGAGTTGATAGTTTCACCGTCTTGAGCTGGATTTGTCACAAGCCAATCTTAAATCCTAAAGCACTTCACTCTGTTTTCGACACTGGAATAGGTATCAAGTATTACCTACCATTGAATTACTGTAGATTAAATACCAAGTTTTATTTTTTACAAAACTACACCTGTTAGTTTTAAATTGTTTGTCGGCATTGGTCTAGCAACCCCTTTAACGTTTCCCTGATGTGCTTTTGAATCACAGTGTCGTTATTCATTATGGTCTTAGAGAAGAATCCTGCTTAATACCAAACCAATGCTGAAAAATCCAGAAGTGTTTTCAGTAATTGAGTTGCAGGGTCATCCACTGAAGCTTTTCAGCTTTAAACATACGAATGCAACAGGCGGCTGTTAAATTTATTCTCCTAAATCTGTCATTAATTCATCAAAAATACCATTTGTTTCACACAGGGCTCAAACCAATCAGGAGTAAGGAAGAACTAGTCGTAGTTATATTGTCTTGCAACTCTCACAGGGACTAAAATATTCCACACCTTTTCCATGCAAGCGTTTGATGAAATGTTCAATTCAGTGTCTGGCTGCACAGTTCCCCCTTCCCCTCAGAGTTTGTTGCCGAATACTTAACATGACACAAAAAGAACAATCGTTTTTCTTGGTTTTTACACAATTCCATGAAATTTCTTTGACTTTTAATGCTCTTGTGACAAAACAGGGTGAGCCCAGTATTGCCCCTTAAAATTGTACCTCGAGCGAATTTTCAAATGCAGTTCCGCATCTTGAATCTCTCCTTTTGCCATCTTCTGTCTACACTGGCAGGTTGGCACAAATATTAGAAATGGGACATTAAAGATTTTTAACTAGCATTAAAAATCTTTTCCCTCCATTTACAGATATGTTCCAAACTGTAACTGTCTCCCAAGTCTGCAAATCCAGTTATACTGTAATTTTAAAAGAACACTGGTAAGGTTGTTATTACCAGAACTGGGGGGTTTTATTATTTTATTATGCAAGAGACTGCTACGAACAAACTATTTTCTTTTTATTTCCTTATTTAAAGAGGCTAATGGCAAAAGCAAGGAGAAAAGAACAATGAGTCAAATTTCTGCATTGAAAAAACGCAGGAAAAACATTAAACTAAACTCAGCATGATATATGAGCCAGTGTCAGGTGAGGGCTAGCTATGCAACTGTTGTACTTAAATAGAGCTCTCACGAATACCCTCTGAAGAGCTGATCCTCTGCTGATCTCGGATCTCTCTGTGACTGCGATCCCGCACCCCAGGCACTGAAGGGATTGTTTCCTCTCCCAAGGCTCCCGGTCCTGCTGCCTCCTTTACACCTGCTCTGCTGCTCGTACAGCTGGAGAAGTGGCTTTGGCCACACAGGCAGGGAGAGCTGGAGGCGAGGGGACACAACAAGCCCCCCACCCCTTTTAGCAGCTCCCGTGCTGTGAAGCCAGATCACAAAGGCTGGAGGTGGCAGCCGGTGTTAAGGCCTTGTTTAAGCATCTCAGAGGTGCCTGCAAGGAGCTGTGTAGGAACTTGCTTCCTATTATGACTGCTATCCAAACGTGGCGGTGAGCAATGTACCTCTAAGTAGGATCACGAAGAGGTAAAAGTTTCCTTATTCATCATCGTGCTAGTGCTTCACACTTTTATTTTAAATTACAGAAAATACTTTGATGGTATCTTTTTAAAATTCCAGCTGGTAAGGCCAGGATTGGGGATTTCTACAACAGTGACTTTTAAACAGTTTAATTAAATTTTGTAGTTGCAGCTGCACAGTGCTGATTCTTCCCAAGAGCGATAAGGACTCTCTTTAAACGAAAGCAACACTTAGCAAACAGCAGCGTAAAAGTTCTTCTGCATCGGTGTTGTCAAGGCTGTGAACATCTTGTTAGCGTTGGCTAGCAGAGCGTGCAATTGTGGGAAGGGCTGAGGAGAAGACAGAAAGGTGTCCAAAAAGCCGGAGGTCACTCACCAATATATGTTTTAAGAGTTTTGTGTCTGTTAACAAAATGCTGTTGATTTTGCCTTTAAGTAGTGTGCTTCATAGTCTGACTATATGTGGCCTTTTTGCTTCAGTAGAGCTCCTTATTCTCCAAACAATTAAATACACACCCAAGTGTTTGCAGAATCAGAGCCTAATACTGCACAGCCTGTTATCTTCTGTTAAACGATATATTAAGACAGTCTTTTTACCATGGCCGAAAAAAGTATGTGTGGGTATGTGTCTGAGCAACTGCCACTGTTTTAGTTGTCGTTATAGCGACCCTTCAGTTATCTATGCATTTTTTTTATAATACCTAGTGATCCCACAGGCAGGCAGCCCTGTTCACTATGCCTTGTATGTCTGATGCCATATTCTAAATTAACCTGTTAAATACAGCTTAAAATATTTTTATTTTATTTATTCTATTTTTACTGAAATATCCTGCATTATTATGTTGATGTATTGTCTGTACTGGATATGCTCTTGTAACATTCTCCACTCTGTGTACTATAGGTTGCCAAAAAAAAAGGCAGGCTTTGTAATTAATTGTAGTCACATTTTTATTGAAGTCTGTAGAAAAATCATGTAAAGCAAAGCTAATTTCTTAATTTTTTTCAATGCAAGTAATAAGTTAGAGGTAAGTATCACGTGTCAGTCATGTCGTTAATATGCTCCCTTGCAGAAGCAAGGCAATTTATATTCACAGTCAATGACTAAGATAAAAGCCTTTGTTTTGAAATCTGCAGTGCTGGCTGTAGGTTTTATTTAAGCCACTTACCATTTCACTGGAAGGGGAGCAAGAGGGTGTGGGAGAGAGAAGGCTACAGGAGCCGCCTACAGGGTGGTTAAACAAGAGTAACAGAAATGGGATGGAAAGGCAGAGGATCCATTCACAGAAAAAAAACCCAGCACCTGTTGAAATATCGTGTCCTCTCATGACAGAGGAACAAAAACTGTGGCCTATCTACTAGCTTATGCCAGTGCTGTGTCAGTAAGAGTTCTACATCCCTTTTAATTTTATCAAGCATTTCCTAGATCATTTAACTAGGGAGCTGAAATTGTTAGTAAATCACCCATGGAAAAGCGAACTTCCTTATTTCAACAGCCAACACGGGCTCAGCCTTTCAGCATTACCACTAACCTCACTACTCCTTTTCTTGGGCAGGTTAAATTAATACACTGCTAAAACTTGTGCTGTACAGTCAGCAAAAGCGGGTTTGATTTATTTTAACAGCGGTAAGAAAGATGGAAACACACACCCACTGTTCATTAGCAGAATTCAGTCTTACATAAAGCACCCAATCAACACTGAAAAGTACAATTTTCCCTGCTGTTGGCCACTTCTCCACATTTAAATGTAATCTGTTCTGAGAATAAATTTAGCTGCATAAAATGGTTGTCTCCATTGTTACTGCTCCACAGAACTGGGAAACGATTTCTTTCATTCCAAATCATGTTTAAGGGGAGGGAAAACCATCCTGGTGGTTTACAGGCAAGAACCATACAGTGGATGCTTTCATATCCAGAAAGCTGAATCAATAGCTTCTAGCTGAAAATTACAAATACGTAATTGGATTACAGAAAATTAGTTATATATGGTACAGCTTTACTGTCAAAAGTCCTCACGTTGTAACTGAGCATACAAGCTTCTACCTACAACTCCTCTGAAGTCAGTCCCAGATGTTGCCACCACGTGATGTTTGTGCTTACAAAGCAAGCTGCCACCCTGCAGAACCAAATTCTTCACTACCAGCTCTTTGGTATCCTGGGCAAGACATCAAGGTTCTGATGGGTTTAGCCTCCGTAACATTTCAAAGACACAAGCTCCTGACAGCAAGATGAGGCCGACCATGGGATGTCGTGACACGTATCACATAAGCAGCCTAGAAATTCTGTCATCAGATACATGTAAGTTCTTTTACAAGCAATTTTAATTATATTTAATAATGACTGATACAGATTTTGATTTAGAAAAAGTTTAGTTCTCTAACTGCAGAATCTCTAACATGATTTTAAGCACTGAACAACCATACTAAAAAAAAACCCCAGTCTCCTCTGTTCCTTCTGTCTAACATACAGAATCTCTCCTGCTCCAAGATGGTTTTGAAATAAAAAGGGATTTTATTTTATTTTATTTTTTTCAGTTCACTACACTGCATACCCACAGGTGTATATCTATCCTTACAAGTCTGTTCAGAAACAAGAACAGAGTTCATCCTTTTGCTGGAACAGGTAAGGAACAAAAGCTACTCACAGGGCAGCAGGTGAGTGGTGCCTTTGAACAGGATAGCTGATTCAGATTAAAATGCTAAAAGAAATTTTTACTTAATCAGTGAAGCTATGGTATTTATCTGATGAACAAGTACCAGCTGGTGTAGTATCAGTCACATCCTTTCTTCTAAAAGTAGTGCTGGTCCGGCTACATCGACTGGTGTGCGCAAGGAAAAAAAAAAATAAATAGAGATGTTAAAACATTTTCACTGGACAAGTCTAAATCCACACCCACAGGTCAAATAGGTTAAGATTCCATACCATACAGCTGCTGCTACTGGCAACACTCTTGCCAAGTATCTGAAATGATTGCCTAGAGGAAAATTTCTTTTCTGGGCCACAACTACCTTTGCTTTGCTGTCTTTGTGTAATTTCTACAACGCTTCTAATCTAAAAATATGAGTCTTAAGGTTCCTCTTACTGTCCCTCTGTCATTGTTTGCCATTTTTCTTCTTTATACTTCTATATAAGGCTGTGTGGTTAGCTCAGTTGGTTAGAGCGTGGTGCTCATAACACCAAGGTCGAGGGTTCAATCCCCGTTCAGTCCCCAAGTGTTGCCTGATCCGGTTGAGAGGCGTCCCTGCCCATGCCAGGGAGGTTGGATTAAATGATCTCTAAGGTCCCTTCCAGCCTAGGCCATTCTATGACACTGGTGATAGTGTCCATGTGTCAGAGTCTGAATGGCAGGTCACAGAAATGGCATCTAGAACTTGTAAAGAGAAACAGCCACTTAGAAAATGTAGCATCACTTCAAAAAAATCAATGTGAAATTGAGTATTCCTACAGATCCTGTACGTTTTTTGACTCCTCCGAACTATCAGCCTTATGCAGCTGCATTCCATTCCCTTTAAACTGTTTCAAAATTTTAAAATTACTAGTTTTAAAAGAATATGGGTACTTCTATACAACTATCCCACAACATACCTCTTTCCCACAGCAACATTACCCTGTGTACAGACATACTGAGAGTATGAATGAATATACACAGGAGTCTTTACCTTCTGTATAAAGTTAGGGCAAAGTCTGAAACTTCTTACGGCTGTGGCTGAGGATGGTGAAGTGTGGCTTGACCACTTTAGGCAGAGGTGGTGGAAGTATCCTGTCGCTTGAACCCTTTGCTCCAGTCCAGCCATGAAAGCACGGATGAGTTGATGTCCTGGGTTTGCTTCCTTGTGCAGTTTGGCCTGCTGGTACCACCGGAGGAAAAACAATTTCCACGGTCTTCAATACGAGCCTCTTGCGATCTGCGCGTGCCTTTCTAACAAGCGTCTGTCTTGGATGCTGCACCTTGCCCGTTGGTGACAAGAGGGATGTGTGCTTCAGCTCTTTAGGCAGAGCCGTGTCTGGATCGACAGATTTCTTCAGCTGAACGTACCTGTTTGGCTGGTTCACATTCTTTTGCTGTTTATCACCAACTGCTTTAGACACAGAAACCTCAGCTTTACGATGGTGAAGGAACTCTGCAGTCTTTGGCTTTATGCCACTAATATTACGTCTGTGTTGTGTTACTTTCTGCTTTTTCTTCTCTTGCTTCGATTTTCCCACAATGCCATCTAGTAGTCCTTTTGCTGCAGCACGAGTCAAAACATCTTTCACAGACACACCTTCAGAAGGATCTTCCTGAAAATTTCAAAGGAAACGACAACGAATCTAAGCCACAAGAGAGTTGCAAACTCAGTATTTTAAATCCCAGATTCCTCAGAATTTACTCCATGAAAAAACTATGCAGAAAGATTTAAGTCACATGCTAACCAAGCTATTTATTTAAGAAATTAAGTATGTGACTGTTGTGTAACCAAGTATCTGAGCATTTGCTCTTCAGAAACTTTGCCCTCTACAGGCCTGAGGAGGGGAAACTGAATTCCAGACTTTGTACTGAGTCCCACACTGACTTGCTCTGTAACCTATCTGTAATGACATGCATACACGTGAGTGTATCAGAAATAGTTCCTAAAATACAGAAATATTATCTATAGCATTGAACTTGAATAATTTTCATGATAATGAAAATCCTTGCTCATAATACATAAGCAAGGAACTCTCAAAACTAGATGAAGGAGAAACCAAGTCAACATCCAAATATGTTGAGCAGCAATGAGGAAGAAACTATTTGCAGCTAGCCAAGAAAAGGGTTTCTGTAAACCAGAAATTCCAGTTTGAATTATAAGTATATATTTTATGCTTTGTGGAAAATGTTCACTTCCAGAATTGCCTAAAAGTTGGCCAGAGGAGCAATTGCTTCTGTGCACTAGAATTTGACTACTCAACTACCTGAAAAAAAAGTGTTTCGTTGGAGGAAGACGATACAGTAGACAGATATACACAGTATGATTAACTAAAATTTATTAACTCGGGGAGCCACATTAAAAAATATTTGACATTGAAAAGAAAGAGGTCAATAATAGATAACTTGAAAGGCTTTTCATTTGCGATTCTCTTAGTTTTAATAAAATCTTCTCATTTCCCCCAAGACACAGGCTTTTTTCAAGCAGCGTAATTGCAGTATGACAGAAAGTGGTACAAATAACCAAATAAGATCTCATATCTTTAATTTTCAATGAAATTCTAATTAGCTCCCTCCCTTCATCTTTTATTGAAAGAAGTCATATTTTTCTCAGGCACAAGAGAAAAATGCTGATGCTGACAGATGCAAACCAGCCCTTTAAGGCCTTTCCTCAAGAACGGTGCCAAGATTTTTCCATCCACTCAGCAAAAGCCCCCTCGTCTTTCAGGCCTGATTTGCATATGCCTTAGTTTTAGAAGGAAACGTATTCATACCTATTTTATTAAAATTATAATGAATTCTTCATCTCTGTTCTGCCTGGACACCGGAAAACCTTGGTGCCACATACAGACATAACAAAAAATGTTCTGGAATAACACATTTCTCCCGAGTCTAAGCCAGCCATGTATTTCATTCCAAGGTGTGACAGCAATGATCTATTTCCTCTGGATGGTCCTGGCACCAACTTAGATCAAAAGACAGCTCTGATCACCAGCAGCTCCAGAACAAAAGGCACCTGGTGGGAAACCGTGCTCGTCATAAAATTCTACAAGTAGCACATTTCAACTGCTCACCTGTTCTTTGTTCTTAAGACAACTAAAGAACAGCCAGGATTTTCTATTATTTTTTAAAATGTTCCATTTCATATATTCTTTTGTGGAAAGTGCCAATGTTCTTTTTTGCAAAGTGTTTTTAAATGGTAATTTTCTTAGCTTACCTCTCTTTGTAGAATAGCTAGAAAACAGCCACTGGAAAATTTTGATGGCTCCATTTTGAAAAAAAAATCAGTGGAGGCCTCTGAATTGGAGCAAATACAAAAGGCAGGAGGAATAAGCCTGCGAAAAATAAACAAACTACCAGAAAATAATATTTAAGGATATAAAAGGAAATAAACAAGGATATATTAAAAGTAACTTCCAAATTACATCCTTCCATTACGGTCTTGTAGGGTTGTATCTTCATTTTAAACAAATGCAATTCAAGAAAAACATGAGAATTCAGCATCTTAGAATTGTGGGGATTTTTTTCAATAATTCCCATATAATTTTTTTCTCAATAATTAAATGTATTAACCACCAGATTATAAATATGTATGAACATAATTAACATCTATGTTCTCTCTCAGGTCTGCTATTACTGGATTATCAAGTTGTCCATAAAGTTGGGGAATGCTCCGAAAGCACTAAGTGGTACACAGAAATTGCAGAGGTGTTGACTTGGAGTTATTAGGTATATGGACATAATAAATAATACATCTATCTAAGCTAAAAATCTTAGGTTAGAAAAATTCATCTATTTTTAACAACCAAGTGCTAGTTTGTTGTTTTGGTTTTTTTTTCAAATTGACAGTTTTTCAATGCATCAGTGAGGAAGGAAGAATTAGCCTTTTCTCAGGATCTCCCTCTATTCCAGTAACCCCTGGCTGTTATAAACAGGCCTCAAGGACTCGGCTTTTAATGCTGCTAAACTAGAACTAAGCTTTTCCAGAACAGAAAAACTGCTCTCAGAGCATCCTTATGCAATTCTTATCTTCTCTTTGCATCACTGAGGACTAAGATACAGCCCCTCCCCAGTGCTCCACTGAGCCTCTGGAGACAGAGCTTTATTCCAAGACAGCTACGGAGCAATGCACTCGATAGGTGTAAGCACTGCTGGCTGGCTAGGCCATTTTTAAGGGGAAGTCTGCAGAAATTAACTCAAATTTGACAGGCCAAAGGGAAATGCACAGCATATCCTCTGTACCCACCTGTTTACATGTACCCTTACATAAGGTAAAGCCTTTGCTATAAACTGTCATATCCTTAAGGTAAGGTCAGCTTAGGCAGTGGGGACACGTTTGAAATCCTCTGCACAGACCAGCTGTAGGACCTCAAACTCCAGCACAGCCGTATTTTGGTTCAACACCACTCCAACACTGCACAGTAATTCCAAAAGACGTAATACAGATAAGCACAATTGGTGTAAGAGTTTCTCAAAAGCCCTCAATTTTCTTGCAAAAGGACTTTTCTAATAAGTAGATCTGTGATGATCAGACAGATTGTTTTATCAGTAGAATTTGCATCTCAAAAGACACTACAACACATTACAGCTAGTAATTCTGCAACAGTTTTTCATTCCATCCCACGTTCTTTTCATCAGTTACCTAATTCCAAGGAAAGTGTACAAGGACTGTTGTTAAGTAGCACATGCATCTTAAACTGCCTGAGCTTTCATCTTAAACATAAACACGCTATATATTTTACTTATGGAGTTCTATTACTGCTCAGTTTATGCTGATTACCAGGAGCTTTATTGTAGCAAGAACTATGCACAGAAACATCCCAGATGTGTGCAGGACAGGGAAGGAGGAACTGATTCTGGAATCATCATTTATGAAGTTCAATCAGTCTTCTGTCACAAATTTGCTCAAGTCTGCAAAAACCCTGATGTAATTTTATTCTCCCTTTCTTACCATCTGAGATTGCCTTGTATTTGAAAGCACAAGTGTAATTTGGTGGCATGGCAAGTTTCATGATCTTTCTGCAAAACACTGAATAGATTTTGGCTTGGTGGGGGGGTTATTTAAGGGAGATTTTTTTTTTCTGAAGGAGTTAAAGCTCTGGGGAAAAAAATCTTTTTTAAAAATATAAATTCTATTCTATATAAAATGAATTTATGTATTACTTGTGCTTAGATAATTCAGGGACCCTTATGTTACAAGGGTCCTCCTATTTCTCCCCATAGCTACATAGAGGTCAAGACATGACAGATATCAGAGAATTTCAACTCACAAAGGAAAATACAGTATACAACAAGTCGGTATATGCTTTTGGACTAGCATAGCATCTTTGGCAAGACATACCATGACTTCATCCTATTTAACATAAATTTTCAAGCAGGCTACTCTTTTGTATCAGTGATTTGCAAGAAAGATGCATTTTGTTGTACTGTACCTTAACATTACACGTAACATGCCTCTTAAAATTCTTTGGATGGGCCACAGTTAACACTTACCATTTTAGTCACACAAAATTTAAATACACTGAATGATATGTTGAACACAGCACATTTCCCCACAATGGCCAAGTCATTAACATCTTCTAAGATAATACCTCAAAAATACAGTATCACTCTCTGGTGCTTTTGCTTATGCTCTTTTCACATATATTAGTTATGATGGCACCAGATGTTCTCTTACTGTCCCTCCCTAGAAGGAAGTCATTCATCAGAATAAAGGGATGAGCAATCCTACAGCAGAAGTTCTTACGCTTCTTTAGTATTCACACATTTTAAGACTTGGATTCTTTTTCCTTTGAAACTGTTTGTTCTGGGTGAGAAGCTGAGAGCATGCTAGCAAGTTCCCTCACTTCTAGTTTGCATTTTATCTACTGATAGCATGAAAGCAGTAGCTCTGTCAGCAGATGTTATTTCCAACCTGTGATGCTTTCCTCCTGTCTTTAGTTCAAATGGGAACAAATGTGAACATGAGAGTCAAGTGGATGCTACTTAGTACTTTAACATCAAAAGGAATGGAATGAGAGGCAGCAAAAACGATTTTAAATGTTAATCTAATGCAGGATGTAGATCAGTCTAAATTGTAAGTTATACTTAATTAAGTTACACTTAGTTTTTACATAGACAAAACTATTCATTCCATACCTATATGGTTGTACTTTATTTCCTTCCACTTCAGATTTCAGTGCTTTTTTCACTACTAGTTCATTTTCTTCTGGGTAAAGTGAACAAGTGCAGTAAACAATAGATTGTACTTTAACTACAAAACAAACAAAATTTCTCTACTGTTAAATTGTTCATATACACAGTAATTTAGCAAGGATTGAAACAATCATAAAAATTATGCTTGGATATCATTTTTACCAATAGAATATATCTTCCTATATACAGTAAAATTCAATCTCTAGTGTGTTTTAATAATTTTTTTCAAATACTTGCACATTTCAGCAGAAATTCAGGGCTTCTTGACATTTTCAAAGGTGAGTATGACTAAGCTGTCTCTCTATACAATGCTGAAGATTATCTTATTAATGGCTGGTGAATACTAGGACACAGCTACTACACCTTTAAACTAGAGGAGATCATAATTTAAGGGTTTGGTTACAGACATACTGCTAACTAATAGAGTAATCAGTGTATTTTTACATATATAAAAACTGCTGATAGTATAGGGCCTTCCCAAAAATCCAAGAGCTAGCCACACTTACACTTCATTGCGTGCATCAACTCATTAAGCTGCCGCTCAGCAAGAACACGGAGTTTATCCTCAGATACTGATCCTTGGAGAAAGTCCTTCAGCAATCCTGCATCTAAATGCAGAGTGTTGTATATTTATTAATGCAACTTGTGTTAGTGTCTTAAAAAGCACCTGTTTGCAGAAAATACTTTGGTAGCAGACCTGATTGCTACTAGTGTAGTGAGAAATTAGGTTTTATGAATTACAATGAATGCCTAAATGATTCTTCTTTACCTGTAATCACTACTGCCTCTTATTTGTTTCTAATTAATGAAAATTGTACACTAAGTAGACTCACACAATCAATAAAGGAATGTAATCAAGGGAAAATTATATACACTCATTGGTATTTTGAAATAAATTTTCTACCTATAGACTTTTTACTGTAAAAGAAACACTATATACACTCTGCTCCCCAGAATAACCCTCAAACTTCGTACTACTGACTTGAGATTGCCTTTACAAAACATTCTCAATCCATCTAGAAAGATTTTCTTTTCTTGTTGAGAACCCTAAGCTAGGCCAAATACATTTTTGCTTACTTTGTGTGGAAAAATCATCTGTATAGTTTATTTATTCTCTGTTGTACTTCCATAGTAGCCTGCACATAGATTACAAATACAGAATTATGCAACTTATTTAATATATATGTTTTATAGTAGTTAAAAATCTAAAAGGAACTGTATTTTATACAATGGTACCATTTCCTGAGGCAGCTACGATGTCCACAGACCATAGTACTTGAACACTGTTTTCACCAGAAAGCTACTGTTATCAAAAGTTACCTTTATGTTCATTTAAAATGAAGTCTACTGGATTGCCAACACCCAGCGCAGAGCATCGCGGTAGCATCAAAATAACTTTTGCCATTTGAAGTCTCGGGTCTGTTGGTTCAATCTCAGTAAAGTCTTCATGCAACAACCGAATATCTGGAAAAAAAGGGGAAAACTCAACAGTTCTACATACAGACAAGCTTGTCTGATTTTTAACATGATAAAGGTGAAGAGGCTGTGTTGTCACACTGACTTCCACTGAGCTAGAGCCTGCTGGACCCAGGTCCTCCAAAGTATGACCCACTGATTTCAGACAGATTGAAGGACTAGACCTCAGCATCTCCCACTGAAAAGTCTGCTCACGGGGTTCCAGCACCCTGTTGTACTCTCTTCTGATTGTGTCCTCTGGGTAAACTGGACAAGCACATGTTTCGGATTAATGCTCTCAGAAACAGGTGAAAATCAGACTGAAAGCAACAGCCAAGATACCACATAAATGGACCCAAACGGTCCCAGCAACAGTAACCACCACACAGGAATTGTGTAGATGGAAAAACTTCACCCTGATATTTCAGGCCCCTGCATCGCTGACAGTTAATCTGCAACCTCTGGCTAACTTGACTGTAGCTGAAGAGTTGTCAGTTCACGTTGTAGCAAAAAAGTAAGTTGTTACTGCCCTGCCCAAATCGTCAAACGAGAGATCTTTGAATCCTCATAGAAGTACGTCGTCTTTACGGAGATCCCAAACATCTACAATACTTTATGCAGACCAACAGTTTCAACACCTACTTTTACATCCCATGTGATCGAACAAGTTCCTCAGTTCAGCTGCTTTATCTGAAGTTTTGACGCCACAAACAAAAACACTGCACCTCTTGTGAACTGTCAGCGCAGACATATGGGCAATGGTCAGATGGGAACCTGCGTGAGCCACTATAATGTCCTCGTCCCCATTCAGCAGTGCCTGTGCAGAGTGTACAGCGAGGCTGCGAGACTTATCCTAGAAAATAATGATCCAAAATGAAATCTGATCAACCGACTGGTTTCTGTGAGTGCCGACCTTCCTCTTCAAATAAGGAAAGTATGTCAGTTTTCATGACAAACTAGAAAAAAGGGAGGAGAAAACCAAATCATGGGTAGCTGCTGATACAAGTACAAACCCAAGCATCTCAAGTTAAACTCATAAAACTTAAATACTTTAATTCTAACTCATAAGAAAGCATAATATCTGTAGATAGAAAGAAATGTCAAGTGCGTATCATCTCCATTTGGAGGAACTCTTAGTGACAGCCAGTTCCAGAAAAGGCAAGTTTGGGCCACAATATGCAAAATTCATCCTCAGAGGCAGCTTAATAGAGAAATGCAGAACCATTCACACAGCCTCTGAAAATAACTAGGAAAAATGAAGTTCTTACATATCAAGAACTAAGATGTTGCTGAAATTTGAACACTGAGGCAGATCTGAATGCAGAAAATCCATTTACAGGAGTAAATGATCTCATACTACAGACACTGAAAAGAGAGATATATTGGACATAACCTCCATCAAATTACTTAAAAAGGCAAAGAAACAGACCACAGGGGCCAAGTTTTGCACCAAATCTGGCAAATGCTGGTGTAAAGAAAAAATAAAAACAAAAAAACCAACAACAAACAAAAAGCTAAATCTTTACATTTGCATTAATGTTGATGTATCTACTTACGCTATTCAAGTACGACCCTACCCCACCACACAGAGATGGAGTTTTTGAGAGTTCTGTTTCCTAACTTTGAATATTATTAGACAGTAACAGAATTTGTTCTGGTGACCTATGGGGCTGTCATGTGTAGTTCTTTTCTGTAAGTCTTCTATTCAAAATATACACATTGAAATGAGATACTCAGAATTACTATGTAAGTTGGGTAATAAATTTTCCAGCTAAAATTTTCAGAAAATGCTAATCATAAAGTGAAAGTATCCTGTGAAACATTTCTGATAAGCACTCAAGAAGCATCAGACACTTTACACAGCTTGTGGTTGGGTGTTGCTGCAGGGTTACTCCAAACCACCAGTCTGCAACTGGAACCTCCAACCAATCTTGCCTGGAGAGGCAAGAGATTAACGGTGGCAAGTCAAGAAAAAGACCAGTGGGGCTTATGGAGAGTTAGGAAATACACTGCACAAAATACAAAAAAGCATCGTCATTCCATCACAAATATGCAGTTGAGAAGGAAGAGATGTTATAATATTAGCATACCTTTATCTGATAACAGGGTAAAGCACATAGTTATGTAGAAACTTTCCTCACATTTTCAGAAATGGGACTGCCTCTTAGATCAATTTTCATGTTTATTTCAACAGTTTTAAAATTAATTTTAAAACATTTACTAATATAATTGTAGCTCTCGATTATAAGCATTAACATTTGGATGAAAAGCCAATCTGTTTCTAACCTTCTGATTATTAGAAATGTCAAAGAAACCTCTGAGAGTATGTTGCTGCCTGACTTACTATAGTAGGACAAGCACACAATACCTGACCTCATTCTAACACATTGTTTTAGTTTGCAGATATTATTCAAGGGTGACATCAGCTTACCTGCAGTAAGAGTTTGCAGTCTGCAAAAAGATCTAAATGAAGCAGTTCTTCTTTAAGAGAGGAAGGGAAAACCACTACATCATGGCAATGTTGGTCCATACAGTACGTGTAACCGTCCAAGCACGACACAGATTCAACTCTTGTGAATCCCTTCTCCTTCAAATCTATGAAAACATCTTGAAGGCTGTTAACATAAAACTCAGACCATTAAATACATAATTAAGAAATATAGTTTGCATTGATTATATGGATTTTTGCCTTTTTTTACTGTGAGTATATATACATATATATATGTATATATACGAATGCAATACTGCCTAGTGCAGGAAGGGAATTCACTCTATTTTAGGTATGTAAGTTCTGGTTTGAAACAATTAAGTCTTTAAGTCTGATAAAATAGATTAAGAAAGAGGGATGTGTCTCCACAGAAGGATTCAGAGCATCAAAACACAAACATTTGTGTGCTCAGGAGACACTGTAGTAAATTTACTGCTGCAACAGTTTAGTCTTTTCAATTGCTTTCAATCTAGCCCAGCTTGCCAATTAAAGGCTGATAACTGAAATAATCCTTGTGTAAATGTAGCGAAGGCAGAAATGCTGACATTTCCAATTCAAATATCAAAACGATTTAAAGGTATATGCTATACAGCAAGCCTTGTTTGTTAAAATGCAGTTTCAGACAGGGCCATAAGCTTATACAATACATTAAACATAGGATCAACACAGCAGCCTTTAGTTCAGTCTTGCTCAAGGGTTGCAAAATCCCCACCAGAGTAAGATACCTTCTCTGTCTTGAAGAGTCTATAACCTAAGCACAGAACAGTGGTCCAAGACAAGACTATGCAAACAAAATTCCTGAAAACATAATAAAATGTCTAACAAAACAGATAACAGGATAACCTGGTATGGTTCACGTATCAGTTAGTACAGAACTGGTAACACCACTGCTACATATATAGCAGCCCACTGAATATATGTGTGTTTTTATTTCAGGTTTACACTATCCTTACAGAATACACACCAGTAGTAAGTATTATGTCTGTCTTAACTCCTTTGCCAATGTTATGGCTTACAGGAATACACTCAACTTTAAAGAATTTTTCTCTATTTTTTGTGAGAATTAATTATCCCATAGGGTTTTTTCAAAATTTGTTTCCTCGTTTATTTGGTGAAAGATCAACATAAGCAACAGAATAGTAAGAAAAACTGTTTCACAGCTTTGTTACAGTTTAGGAATGCCACTACTGCAGTATATAAAACTACAACCAAACATAACTGGACTAAGAAGAATTTATTATAAGGATTTTAAATTACTGGTACTAGTATAACCTGAAAATTCTAAAACGCTTCGAATGTAAAAATATCAGTATTAGATGATACTTTAAAGACCTTACCCAATTTTACATGTGTTTATCCAAACATATAAAGGTAAAGAAGGAGCATTTTGTTCCTGCTTCCGTACAGTTTCTGGCAGAAAGTACTCAATTGAAATAGCATCGTTTTTGATGCGACATCTTGCTAGTGCAGCTGCTAATTTGGTCCTAAAACTACAAAAGCATAGTCACACGTTCAGTAAATTTTAGAAATGTTTATGTCAGCTATTAACATGCCATCTTTCTATTACAATACTATCTTGCTCACAAACCAAAACCAAACAGGAGGCCTCATTCTGAGTGCTGTTCCATAAAATACACAGTTATATGGCATTTTCTACCCCAAACAATGGTAGGTGCAAGATCATAGTACCTAGCTGACACTATTTTACTTAAATGCACAAGGGACTGGAATTATGACAGATGACTCCCAAATGTACCCATTTTCTCGGAAAGCTTAAAAAAAAAAGTTTTGGAATTGCAATCTGTGGAATACAATCATCAGATTTTTTTTCGTATGTTTGAAGAGATAAATACATGTAGGTGCAGGATGAGCATTTGAAGAAAGTTGCCCTCTATATGTGTACATAAACAACACAAGTATGATGGCAACGAGGAGCTGGTTTTATTATTAGGTGAAAAATGCCAGAGGAAGTATTCCCAGACTTTTCCTCCACAGGCTTTATGCATAATCGTGATACACAATACTTCAAAGCAAATAAAAATTGCTGGTGAGTTACTTCAGGTGCCAAGGTATATTACTTACTGCACTCCAGGAATAGCATGCACTTAAAATATTCATTACCTTTCTGGGCTATTCTAAATCCAGCAGCAGCACAATTTTGGCCAACAAATGCCTGCTGAGTTCATCAACAGACTGATGAAAGAAGTACTTGAACACTATTTAAAATGTTTCTTTTACTTATCCTCTTTTCTTTATTGTTCTTATTACTTGAAATAATAAATATTTAACAAACTTCCATAATAGAAGTGTTGCTAAATAAAAGGATGTTATTCCATTCCATGACCTCTTGACTCTATTACATTCATATTTATGAATGTTTACTGAGTATTTAATTTCTCTTCTAAAATTGCACAAAAAATAAATTTTCAACAGTTCCAAAACAAGACACCTTTTTCTAGCAAAATAACCTACATTATGAAGATGGTTTGTTAGCTGTATTTTTCTTAACTATAGGAACACAAAAACTTTCCCTTCATACTAGGTTCTCACTAAAAATAAAGCTTACAAAATTAGAAGCTGAAAAACATCCTCAATATTGACAATTACTAAAAAAAAAGGCACTGGCTATATAAATCTGTATTTCTGCTAATATGTATCAAAGCCCACCTATAAGAAGGGCCAGAAGGAAGATCTGGGGAACTACAGGCCTGTCAGTCTGTCCTCGGTGCCCAGGAAGGTCATGGAGCAGGACAACCAGATCAGGCCTAGGAGCACCGGTTCATGAAGGGTAGGTCCTGCTTGACCAATGTGATCGTTTTCTCTGAGCAGGTGACCCACTTAGTGGATGAGGGAAAGGCTGTGGGTGTTGTCTACCTGGACTTTAGTAAAATTTTTTACACCATTTCCCACAGCATTCTCCTGAAGAAACTGGCTGCTCAGGGCTTGGAGGGATGTACTCTTTTTCTGGGTAAAAAAAAAACTGTCTGGAAGGCCAGGCCCAAAGAGTTGTGGTAGATGGATTTAAATCCAGTTGGCAGTCGGTCACAAGCAATGTTTCCCAGGGCTCAGTGTTGGGGCCAGTTCTCTTTAATATCTTCATCAGTTATCTGGATGAGGAGACTGAGTGCACCCTCGGCAGGTTTGCAGGTGCCACAAAGCTGGGAGGGAGGATCGATCTGCTGAAGGGCAGGAAGGCTCTACAGAGGGACCTGGACAGGCTGGAGTGATGGACTGAGGACAACTGTACAAGGTTCAGCAAGGCCAAGTTCCAGCTCCTGCAGTTGGGTCACAACAACCCCAGGCAGTGCCACAGGCTTGGGGAAGAGTGGCTGGAAAGGTGCCTTGCAGAGAAGGATCTGGGGTGCTGGTGGACAGCCGGTTGAACATGGGCCAGTGTGTGCCCAGGTGCCAGAGGAGGCCAACAGCATCCTGGCCTGGATCAGAAATGGTGTGGCCAGCAGGACCAGGGACTGTGCCCCTGTACCATGTTCAGTTTGGGGCACCTCACTAGAAGAAAGACACTGAGCTGCTGGAACATGTCCAAAAGAAGAGAAACGCAGCTGGTGAAGGGTCTAGAGAAAAAAGCCTTATGAGGAGCAGATGAAGGAACTGGGGCTGTTTAGCCTGGAGAAAAGGAGGCTGAGGGAAAAACTCATTGCTCTCTACAACTATCTGAAAGGATGTTGTAGAAGGTGGGGATCGGTTTCTTCTCCCATGTAACAAGCAATAGGACAAGAGGAAATGGGCTCAAGTTGCACCAGGGAAGGTTTATATTGGATATTAAGAAATATGTCGTCACTGAAGAGGTTGTTAAGCATTTCACTAGGCTGCCCAGGGAAGTGGTTGAGTCGCCATCTCTGGAGGTATTTAAAAGACGTGTAGATGAGGTGCTTAGGGATACCATTTAGTGGTGGACTTGGCAGCGTTAGGTTAAAGGTCTGACTTAATGACCTTAAAAGCGATTCTATGATTCCAAAACGATTCTACAATTCTAAAAAAAAGTTCTTAGCTTGTATACCTGTATAAGTAACGCTCTATTTTCCGAACTACAGGTTCTTCTTCATCAAATATCTCTCGTGCTTCAAACTTTCGGTCTTGTAGGTCATAAAGCATCACAAGCAGCAAGCTGGTTAATTCATCTGGCTGCAACAGAAAGCAACTGTATAGAGAAACTGACACAAAGCATGCTTTACTTCTGCAAAAAGATCCATATCAAACAGCAGTCTCCCATGTTAGAGGCATTAAAAACTCCAATGAAAATCTTATTTCTAAGAATATGAAAGTAATTCCTCATGGAGAATTACTAAAACACTAAAGATTTTTTTAAGAACTCAAACATACAACTTAAAAGTTATGTAGCTTATCAAAAAAATATTCCCCATACACACTGTATCTTAACAACCTTTAATGCTATCAGAATTTAAACTTTGCAATTTTCTCTTCTAGTTCCTTGAATAGCTAAGCTAACAAAAACTTCTTATCTACCAATTTGTCTCTTGTGGGACTCTTTGGTATATAACAACCAATAAGCTCAGTATATAATAACCACTCCGCACTTGGGCAACTTGTGAAATCTCCTTCCCTTGTCTAAATGTTTAAACCAGGGAGCATCTCCTTCCTAGGGATAGTAATTAGCAGCACCTGAGTTATTCTTGTCCACCTCTTCATAACATTCCTACAGTTCTTATGCCTTTGAAAATGCTTACCTTCTCACAAATATGACTGAAATGAGTTAGAAAACTCGAGTTATTAGGGAAACACTACCAAAGCCAAAAGGTTCACATGTAAGTCTTACCTCCTTACAAAAACAAGCCAGAAATCAAATTTGCTAGATCACATCAATCTCCACAAATAACATCAGTTCAAATTCAGCTTCTCATTTTCAAAGGCATCAAAGACTAAGCTGGAAGGAACAGCAGATTACTCTGCCACCTCTAGATGTTATTTTTATTCTCACATTGAGAGTAAACTGGACCAAATTTTGCCAGTGTAAGGACAGTATTTGTATACAATAGTTTGTCCAGGGCATGAAACACGGGTTCAATGCATTGTTTTGCCTGATGGGGTACACTTCACAACTCTGAGAGACAGAAGGAAACATGATTTTTTTTCCCCCCTCCCTCACAAGGGGACACAGCTGGGAAGGAAAGAACATGGAAATGGACTGGTTCATGGACAACACCACTGAGCAAGCATTATGCTGCAGTAAGCATTACAGTTCACTCTCCTACCTTCTTTCTTTGAAGGTTTTCATTCCCAGCAGTAACATGCAACAGGAATCTCACAAACAACATATCTACTACCTTGGAGATTGATGCTTTAGACAACTATCTAAACAGGACAAGAGTATTTCAGTCTTGGGCTACCATATACTTCAAAACAACAAATGTTTTAAAGAATGTTGTAGAATCCTCAGAAAATAATCTGATTACAACAACTCAGAAAATATAAAAGTTATGTCCTCACGAAAATGTTCACTTACTATTGACAGGCATGGATATGCACAACTATCTAATAATATTTCTTCAAGAAGATCTTGATCTGAAAAAAAAAAAGACAAGTTATGCAATGAAATTGACAAGATTCTCTGGAAGAAAAGGGAAAACTTATAAATCATTAAAGAAAAAGCTGAAAGTTTAAACATCATGAAGATTAAGGGCAAATTTGATCACAGACAGTAGCAATTCTAAAATATAATTCCTTTACATGAAAAACAATTCAAAAGTTTGATTTCACAAAATGCTAATAACACTTAAATTTCCTTCAGTATTAGAGGGATGAGTAGTCTAGCAGTAACGTGCAGTTTCACAAAGAATTTCCCAAATGTCTGCTGTCAGGCAGAAACAAAGGACTTTGTTCTTCCATATTTTCTCTGCTGGCAATTCTTGGGAAAGTCCTGTACTTACATTTTAGAGCACTGAAGGCCAGTTCATAAGATACACGCTGAGAATACTCATCTTTAAGAGTCCGCATGGGAGATCCTGAGTCATCACCATATCGCACCAATATTCTATCCTTGGGCTTTTCAGTACGAATGCCTTGGAAAATCTTAGCTGCGTTTATGTACACGGGGTCGGGATAGCCATTCTTCCCAATCACAGTCATTGTTCTTTTTTCAGCAGGTCCTTTGTCATCTGAAATTTTCATTTCACTCAAGTCTGAAGTATCATTTATAGCATCCTCATGTAAAGACGTGTTATTTTTCATTTCACTCAAGTCTGAAGTATCATTTATAACATCCTCATGTAAAGACAAGTTACTTTTAGAACCTGGCATTTTCCCAGTTGCTGACTCCGTAAGTGCAAGTCACAATCCTGCTGCTCTGCAAAAAACAAAGTTTGTATTGAATTATAATTTTTTCTTTCACTAGAATACACTTTTCCCTTAATTTTCAGGTTTTTAATAGAATTTATTTCCTTTTTTAGGCTCTAATTCTGCAAAGACGTATGCACATATATCACCTATACTTCTACATGTCTATCATCTTACATGTAGTAGAGAATTATTTGTAATAGTTTCTTAACTTACTTATTTTCATGAAAGCCGATAAAAAGACTGGTTACTTGTTTCAAAAAGGCCAGTGCTTTACAATAAATGATCCTAAATAGACTATATGCAGAGATTTGATCCTCTGTGTCTAGTAAGAAGCATTGCTGTTGCAGACAAGCTAGTATCTCTTACTAGGAAATCTTCTTTAACAAAAAAGACTACAGATATTTCAAAGCAGACATCATGTCTTCCAAAGAACCATCTTGAAAAGAGTTGCAATAAATTTCACACGCTTGTCCACTAAATTGCATATCTCTTCCTAAAAATGGGTAACAGAGATCACCCAAGTGTTAATTTATTTAACGTATTACCTAAACAGCACACTTTTAAATGCAGGAAACCCATTCAGAGAGTCTAGGCATGGATCAACTGCTGACAAATAGTTCTGGATATTTTAAAATTAACATCACAAAATAGCAGAATTTGTTCTTTTTGCTCGCCTAAAAATCCAAAAGCAAGGTGATACTCCAAACAAACAGAAAGGATCTTCTCCTTTGCTATATAATTCAGTTCAGTACAACTCTCAAGCTTTTTTCCTGTGCGCTCCCACCTTCCTCAGGATCTATTACAAACCTCTTCTCTCTGGCTCTGACACATTTGCTCAGCGCTCTTTTATCCTCTCCCTTTTCCTGCCCCCACCACACAAAATCTATTGGAGAAGGAGGAAGGCAGCACGCAGGGTTGGAGGGGAAAAGACGAACACAAGCTGCTACTTCACCACCTGACAGCCTCATGTTGAGTCAGCAGTCTCTTGTTCAAACTCCCTTTCCCAAACACGGGTGATGCTCAGCCCACTCCTCCCCTCTTCAAGACTGGCACAAGTCAGTGTCCACTCAGCCCAGCATGCTCCAGACAACCAGCCAGTATGGCTTCCTGAATTCTGGTGGCTCATGTGGAGGAGGCCACATCTCATTGTCCTTTCCCAGGTTTGCTCCCCAAAACTGAGGCCTGCTGACTCTACAGAAACAACTTCTGCTGTCTCTTTACAGAGGTCCTGGGCCTTGGACAAACAGTCTCCTCTGGTCAGAGTTAAACTCCAACATCCCTAGTGTTAGAGGAAGCACCAGTGGATCCAAGGAGCAAACATAAATTCAGGAAGTCATATTGAAACAGGACAAGCAGTGCTATCAAAAGAAAGGACTACTCTTCATTAGAATAAAATACCAGATTATCTAAAACAAATTTCTGCTTAGAAAGGGGAAAAAAAAAAAAGGCTTTCAGGATCTTTTACACTAATTTAACCAGAAGACACGTATATGACTTCACAGAAATGAGGACAGCATCTAACAGGAACCTGGAGCTCAAAGCCCTTCTCCAGTTGAACACAAAATATTCCTCTTCAGAATACGTAGCAAGTGGACAAACGTCTGTGGTGTCAGGACTTTCAAGACTTGCAGGGTTCCTGATCACTGTTTCTGACTTCTTTGCCAAAGCCATTTTTGCTCTCCCAGAAGACACACTGCTATGAAGATGATGTGACAAATACACTTTCCCAAAAGACAAATGTCATCTCAATAAAGATGAGATGACAGTGGTTTGCTCTCTGCAGACACACTGTCTGGTTGCAACACTGTAAATCGCAGGTTGAATTATTGAGGCCTGTGCCAAGCAGAGAACATCAAGCTTGATTAATAGGAAGCTCAGTTGGGAAGAACTAGAGAAAGACGCTGCCTTTGTCTATAGAAAAAATGAGCTGAACCTCAAGCAGATTACTCAGCTGAGGGGGAAAACATAACCCTCAAAGTTCCAAGGAGGCCATCATTCTCCTAAAGAGGAGGACAGCCTTTAAAATTCAGAAAGATTTTTTTCCATTGTTTTTTAAGTAAATCTTCAAATGAAACATGAATTCGTTGTGTTAGGGTGTCACTGAAGAGAAATGTATGGAAAAAAAATTATAAAATCAGTTTATAACACTCCTGAGTCCTACAAACACTAAATCAATCTGATTTGGACCCAAATCTAGCATCTCTCCATGCAGTCTTAGCCCACTGATTCAATGTTAAAAATTCATAGATATTCTAGTGATCTGGCTGACTAGGGGTTACAACTGCCTCATCTAGAAAGCAGAAACTTGCTGTTGCAATAAGGTTTCCAAGTTCTTGCCAATACACTTCCACACTGTTTTCTTTAAACTTGATCAGATTTGCAAATTAGAGTAGCAACACAGTATGTAGAGGAAGGGAACTTAAAGACTCCTGTGACTAAAATTTAATGGACAGTTACCAGGCAGCTGTTCTCCGACACCCAGAGTTTATTTTGTAAACAGCAAGGATCTATCTCACAACAATATTTGTTGTGAAAGCACAGAAAACAGACAAGAAAATACCTCCCCATTTATGGTATCAAGTCATAATCCACTCAACTGTTGATAACCATCAGGACAACTGGCTGTTAGCACAACAGTTCAACCAGCAGCAATCTCTCTTCTGAAAACACCCGTATTATGAATGCAGATAGATTTCCCTACCACAAATTAGTGTTAGCCATGTAATAACAATGGCAATAGAGATAAGAAGATTGTAGGTTCGAAATAGGAGAGTGGGTACTAGAGAGGAGGATGGGGAACTAAAACAGGCTATATTGTTTTACAGCCAGGCAGTGCAAGGTAGGAGGCCTGGAGGTGTTCACAACGCTTTTTCCCATCTTTTTCCAAAGACTGAGCAGGACTCTCAGCTGCTCTGGCAAGCTCTGTATTTGAAGCACTCAACATGTCTAAGAATAAGCCCACAGGAAAGACACTGGAAGATCACCTGAAGAGAACACGGGTGAGAGAAAGCAAAGACTTTATGCTCACACTCTGGGGAAGCCTTTGAACAAGACCTTTGAGGTAATGCTTTTCTCAGTCCCTAAACCAACTGGGGGAAAAGTTACACAACAGGTATCTGTCAGGTAGAATCACTGGAAGCCCACCAAATAGAACTGTATCAAGATCAGCAAGTTTAAATACATAAAAAAAGCAAGAATCATTGCTTCTCAATACCACAGATACACTACCTACCCATTTAGCCAGTATGCTTGCCAGTGGAATTGAAGAAAAATTGGATTAATTTGTTTGAATATTCCTATTTTCAAGTGAAGCTACCCATAGACCACATGGCTTTGCAAAAAGCACTAAACAAATGGAGTATTTGTGGCACACAATATAGATCTATGTGAATAGCAAATAAAAAATATTTCCACTTTACATATAACTTCACTTGAAATAGCAGTTAACTAGTGTATCATAAACACTCAGCTTGAAGGATGCCTCCAGGTTGGACACAATGAACTCAAGTGAACAGAATTACAAGACTTATGCACTAGACGGCATAGTAAAGAATTTCCACACACACTCTCTAAAGTCACTAATTCCTCTGTTTATACACCAATACATGTATTTTTCCATTTTTTCAGTTATCACCTTTTTTCAGTAACCTCTAACATTACACAATTCAGCAAAAAGAGAAAACAACAAGCAGCTACAGAGCATTTGTGTTGTATCAAGTACAGCAGGCAGCCTGGCCACCCAGTACTAACTCGCAATAACAGGAATTAGCGAAAAGTGGTTCTGTGAGCATGGACACAGTTCCTCGTTCAGCAACAAACAGTAAATCCTCGACAGCCATACACTGTCTGTTTTGTCTTACTGATTTTATGTGTATAACATGACCATACCTGCTTTCTAACGTCAAGCGTGACTGTGTGATACAGAGCTTCAATGGATCATAAAACTTAAATTGACCCCAGCTTCAGTCAACTAAGCCGGAGGAAAGAAAAAGTCAGGAAAGAACATCCCCCACGAAACCATTCCCCAGCTCCACTTCATTCTGAGAAACGGTCCGTGTCAACTCAGAGTACTCATGCGGGAAAAAAAGATATCTTTGTGTACGGATTTCTTGAAACAGTGGCCTGAAAGGCCTTGAAAAACAACCAATCCCTCCCCAAAACCCAGGCAGGTGGGCACGGTGAAGCTTCGTAAACCCTCTCCCCTCAGCAGCAACCCAAGGGTCCGTGGGTTTTGCCCCCTGACGGGATTCCTCCCGCTGGGGTATCCCTGCTGACGGCGCTGC